AAATAAAGATGTTTATCAGGGAAACCCAACAAAAATCTTTGGGGAAATTCCATAAAAACTGCAAGGCAGCTGACAAGTCCACAGCCCAATTGTGCCACGGCAGTGGGGGTAGATTGCAAGAAAAGCCACTGCAAATGCCTGGAGATAGCATGGAAGACATGATTTACTGGAGAAAACCTCCCTGTGTATATGTGATTGCTCCAAGAAAAGTATAGTGGCGACGTGCTGAACCAGTAGCACCTCTAGCCCTCAAGGTGCGTAGCCAAACAGCACCCTCCTCCCCCTCACGGTGTTTGGTTGATCCACTGGCCAAGGGCTGGAATCCTGACAGGCATCCTTTCCACAGTGCTTTCAGCTCCGAGCCAGTCTCCTTTCAGATAGCAGTTTTGTATCTTATGCTGCAGAAGCGGTGACATCAACAGCATTCTCTTGTTTATACGCGGAGCACTGGACAGAGCAACTGTCCTGGCGTACCTACTAATAACACTAACCTTTACTAGTTCCCAATGTGCACAAGGGTCCTTAAAGATAATATCTAGCTGGACTTCCCAGTTCGAGCTGCTCCCATTTCCCTTAGCTGGGCTAGGTTTGGGGAAACAGAAAGGAAGCGTTCAGGGACATACATGATAATCTGTCCCCCTTTGCTTTAGGGATGATACGCCAATCTGATGTCACTAAATTCGGGGAAGGGTTGTAGGCTTTAATGTTTTTCATTATCTCTAAAACGTGAGCGGCGGGACCTGGCGAGCGAAGAGCCAGGTCCTTCGGGCTCCTTGTATTCTAGGGCGGTAGCTCACAGCAGCTGTCTCTGAGCCCCTACCCGCCACCACTGCGCGCCCAGGCGCAGCTTCGGCGCTCTGGGAGGATGCGCTGGACACTTCAGGCGTGCGGCCATTCTGTGAGGCGTGTCCCTGAAGCACTAGCTGGTGGGCTGCCAGTCCCCTGAGCGCGGGGACTTCTGGAGAGGTTGCGTCACCTGCCGCAGGCGCTGCGGCTTGTGACCTAAGCTGAGTCCTAAGGGGCGGACTTATCCTTTCGCCCTGGGTACTGGCATCGCGCAGCCACCCAGGTGCTGCTCAGGTACTGAGATGGCTGGATGTGTGCTTGTGGGTGCTTATTATCTTTTGGAAAAAGAAGCCTCGATCCGGGTTCCACGTTCTTGTGAAATTTCCTAGACGTTACAGCAAAAGAGAGAATTTGAGGAATGATGTGCCTTGGGATCCGAGTGACACCTTCAAGGTCTACGAAATCCCCGATTTTACCCATAGCATTTCTGAAATAGAGGTTCAGTTTTTCCCCCGGTGGGACTTTTCAGATTTTGTAAACCTACTCCTGCCACTTCCAAAACTGTCTTTCTCTTTCTATACATCTATAACTCTATCATCTATCTATATATAGGTGTGTGGGGGTGTGTGGGTGTGTGTGCGCGCGCGCATAACACTTTTGCATACACGTATGTTTTCTTTTTCAAATACTGTACATGCTGCCTTGTTTTGCCTTCTATGATTAAA